CTAGTTAGTACCAAAGATGATGCAAGTTGACAGATGCCAAGCAGGCCTTATCCGTCTGAGTTGAGATTGGGCTAGCAGCTACTCCTTTCGGGTTGGTGCAACCCCCCAAGTGAGTATAGTGGTTGATGCATTCCTCCACTTCACTCACTATCTTTAAACTGAGAGCTGGTGTAGATAGATCCTGGAGCATCATCTTGCATTAGTCAGGTGCTAGTCAGACATATGTTAAATATACTCACATTTCTGATGAAGGTGTTTATAAGATCCTGCATAATTTCAGCCTTTTTACGTAGGTAGGTGATGTCGGTTGTGTTCTTCAAGTCAATCTGATGCCCTCCAGGAGTGGATCGATCCTTTTGAAGTCATGTGTTACTTAAGGTTATGCACATCAATAAGTCTATAAAGAAATAGGATAAGAACTGTGATAACAGGCATCCATGGCGTATGCCATTAGTTGTCATCGATTCAGATGACAACTCTTCATTAGCCACACACGCCTGTGTACGTTTGAAGGTAGATCTACGGTTAGCGTTACAGACTTGCCCAGGATTCCTTTCATAGTGAGACGATGTCACAACACTTCACAGTGAGAGCCAAATACAGCCTTCAGGTCAAGAAATACGGTAAGTGTCGGCCATAAACTGATGGTTAGTGGAGATCTGGCTCATGCACTCTCGTTCAGGTTTTAGGTCTGCTTGATGTTCTAGCACTCCAGTTAGGGATCATATAGCTAAAAACCTCAGTAATCCAGGTTTGTAATGTAGCACCATATCCGAAAAAGAAGAGCTCTCCTAGTAGTTCTACTTGAGACTTTATCAAAAGCCTTACTGAAGCCTTTGAACATGGCATCTGTTTCACAGCTGGCTACCACGGACTATAACTAGTTCCTCTCTGGCTACGAGGGGTTCGTTATGCAAGAGTGTCCATCCTCAAAACAGTGTTCCTCTGGTACCAGAAAATTATTTTATTCGACATGGCTAAACAACTTATCATGAAATATTTCTTTTCGAAAACCCTAATGGCTTTACTACTCAGACTAACAGTTCGATAGTTAGCTACTACCTGATGACTACTAGCCTTAGCAACTGGGCTGACTATGGCACCTTTCCCAGTGTTGGAACTTGTGTAACCAAGTCGTTCATTATATCAGTGGCGGGACACTGATCCAAACTTAGGTGTCTTGTCGGATATATTTGTGGTAACACTCGTTCCTTCATCATCTTACTCCGTAGTGATCTGATCGTCATCGTCCCCATATGCCTATATTTAGGGCTATAGTGGTTCAGTGGGTTCCTAAATTAGAGCCTAAGAGGCTTACAGCAAAAGTTGCACAACCAGGAAGAAGCTGGTTTACTAAAATAGTTAGACACGGTTAGTGTCGATCCAGTGCAGAATTAATGGAAATAACATCATTCACATGCGATGCATTTCATACCTTCGTAGACCAAGAGTTGGAAGTTGGTTCCACCGAAAACATGGTTACTGCTAGCCGTTTTGTTCATAAATAGTTGAAGGTTCAGACTGGAACGGGTACCAACGTTTGGCCTTAGTAGACCAAATTAACCAGATGCATGGGACAAAAACAAAAGCGAAAAAGCCCTATTTAGAAGCCTCATAACTTTTACTGGGTTGATGGACACAAGTTGACTAAAGTTTTCTAGCCTACGCCAATTATTTTGTTAATGATATATTCAGTTATCTGTTAGTAACCGAGTTTATTCTTCAATGATTCACTTTCTAGTAATGTACGATTGTGAAACACTCCCAACAAATTCATATTATTTATAGATTATGACCAGCTGTGTTGGGTAGGACACATATTATGCATCTCTAGTTACCACATACGCCGATGTATTATGTTAGATGGGGTTAGATTAGGTTTAAGAACGAGTAACCGAACGGAGATATATCATTAGTCCATGGAACCTCACTTATATTCTGATTCATATAGGTAGGTTTAGGTTTCGTAGTTCACATTGACGACAGTCGAAATCTATGGTTATTACTCTGCACAGTATGACGCAGTATAGATTACATTAAAATAGATGCACTGATGCCAAAACTCTACTTGACCTTTGGAAACCACCAGCATGTCTCTTTATCCCCTCTTCACTTTATCGTATGACCTTTTGTGATTGCTGGTATTATTCCTAATTTTGTCTTTTCTCTTATCAGTCTAACGTATATGAAGTGTGGGGGCTCAGAATCTGCACGTGAATGTGCTGGCTTCTGTATTCTATGTCTGTCTTTCGTCAAGCTTAATGTTCGTTACTTGGATTTTATCGTAAGTAAACTAGTCCCTTTTGCTTCCTTGACCGAATTCCTTAGTGAGATATAGTGTGAACTTTCATTAGGAATGCTAAGTCAGTAAAAATGAATAAAGTAATCTGAATCATGTTTCGAAGGTTTAAATGAATCACTACTTCAATATCGTTTGCAGTTTTTGGGTGGATATGATGAATTTCACTTACATTAACGGGAACTCAAGTTTAGAAATAGAAAAAGGAGGATTGAATATAGTTATTTTAGTTTGTAAAGTCAGGTATATTTCCTCATTTTATAAGTTCTTTGGTCATCAGCCAAACGATAACTAGTTTTGACTTACCTTAGGTTATCAGTAAATATCCTTGGTCCTTCAGTCATATTGGTTAGATTTTTACTTACGCCGCGCATTAGCGGCCTTTTGAGGATTCATTTTAGTTATCATGACTTATATCCTTTGGATTTCACAGGTTTTGAAAGCTATCAGCAAATACTTTTCATAAGACTACTTTCATCTCACGGATAAAATATGTAACTATTTTTTATTTATGAAAAAAATTCTAGCTTTCTAGTAGAGTCAGATAAATCAATATGTCAGTGCAAATTACAGTACTTTAGAAATAGTACAAGCGAAGGAGGAAAATGAAAAAAAATGGAAAGAGAATGGATGGAAGACTAAACATTTGTTCGTACTCTGGGCCATAAACGATCGAAGTTTTGAGTTGAAGTGTAAATTCATCTATGCCCTTAGAATCGATTTTAAGGGTATCATCCAACAATCCATAACCAATAATTTTCCTTTTTATAAGATCTAACAAAATTATTTATCGTTTGACTGTTCATGAAATAAACATTTAAAAAGAAAAATCTATGAGCAAACCATTGTTTTCAACAACTTTCTTGTAAGGTTCTACAGTTGTAATTTAACTCAACAACGCTGTTCTGATTTGTTCAATAGACTGTCAACCACCTCTGTTGTGTGAAAGTTAAGGAAGGCTCAGTGTGGTAGGTAGAGAAAAGTTACGACATTTGACCCAGTTGTTGAAGATTGACTGCTTGAATTGATGAGCCACATTTCTATTATATGTATATGAAAGGTAAAATGTCTGAATATATTGTATAACTAGCATGTTTCGAAGAAAGAAACGTAAAGAAAATAATTGGTAAATGGTCATACTAGGACTAGATGTTAACGTACAAGGAGTTGGTCCTATAGTAGACTAGACTAGATTAGACAGCGTGGTTAGATTTATTTTCTTTGACTTCAGCTAGGCATAAAAGATTTAGTCATGCACTTCTTTTTATATTACTCAGCACTTGGAATTTCACAGAGAAAGCTTAATCAATCTTAGTGTAGTCTCCATTGTTTATCAGGTGAAACAGCAAACTGGTGCATGCTGTCAGGTGCGCAAGAATATTTACCTTAGTACAGGCTATGTACTTCATTTTAAAGGAACAGTTCGAACATTTTATTCAAGTTTTTTTGTTGTTTTGAAAGACGTTAGCCTAACTAAAATCAACTCTTCTCAGAAGAAAATATACTAACCAGAATTCTATGTCTATAAAGTAGAATTTTGTCACGAGATAGATTATTGTCACTATGAATGCACTAATAAACTCACCAAAATTATGTTAATGTGCATACGCATCACAATGTTTTATGGCATTTTATGTAAAAATCTTTTATGGTACGATTACATGCATAACTCATGCTCCTTGTCAAAACTGTCTCTAAAAGTCTCGTTCTAACAAAATGCAATATTGTGTTACCATATTTTGATTAAGTTAGTTGATCTAAAGTTCATCTCTGTGTATGGCTTTCCAACTTGTGTCACAATGATCAGAGGGAAACACTTCATAAAATTATTTGTAAGAATTTGTTAATTCCTTGGTTTTCAACCCGTCTGCTGACTGGAAGTAGTGTTAACCTTCACATTGCTTGCACCAGTAAGTACTTCTTTGAGGAATGGAGATTTAATCGGTTTTCATTTCAGAATTCAGCTAGATTTTAAAGTTAGCAACATCTTGTAATAAATTATGTACAACACGCATGTCTCACAAACCAAATGATTTTCCTCTTTGGGTAAGTACTCGATACGAGTATCAAGATCAAATGGGGAAGTTACAGAAAAGTTAGCTCCTTTCATGCTATCAGCAATATATCTGTAAACCTAAGATTGTAAGGTGAATACTATGTTGCTTAGCTATCACTAACTGTTTGCCAACTCAGACTGAAGAAGCCAGAAAACCGGGGCTGTTGTTTAACTGGTTCTATTGGTGATGTAATACCAATACCTACTATTTATCAGCAGAAAAAAACTATTTTACAATCACTCACAAAAGCATTTTGTTACCTGTATGACTTTTCTTTCGCATTGGGTGTTTTTTTGGTGTCAAACGTCATGTTTAGTATCATCCTAACATCGTTTAAATAGTTGAACACGCTCGAATTCTGATCTCATAGTTCTTCGTATTATGGTCTACGTACATAAGTTGATTGCTTATTTTTTATTTGCCTTTTTAGATAGTGCCGAACTTATGTCTTTTGTTGATGTAGGGGATACAATCATTGCACAAGAGGCCAATAGAATGCTACATATTTTTATCAGCCTCATTTATATTGTCGGTGGAGTAATTCCTTATATTCCACAGTATATAGAAATTCAAAAAACACAATCTGTCAAAGGTTTCTCTCCACATGTTTGTCTTGTTCTTTTATTATCGAATATTCTAAGAATATGTTTCTGGTAAGTTATGTTGATTTATCATTTCTTGACGTAAAAGTGTTACTTCTTCTAAGTTTATCTCGAAAAAGAGCGTTTTTATATAGTAGTCTCTTGTTTTCCTGAACACATTTTTTTCCGACGAAAAATTTCGACAGAAATAATATGCAGATATGCTTATTGCAATGATGTTTGAAGCTGATAATCTGACTGATGACCGCATTCTGACTTTTTTTTCTTACTGGGCTTATGGCAACATACTTTATCTAGCCCGCTTCTACAGGAGGGAATTAGCGACCTGAATAGCTCAGTGGTAATGTCTCCAACTACAGCACTGAGTAACGCAGTTCGAACCTCTGAGAGGAAATCGGCAACTTCGAGGTAGCAGATACACCTTGTTGACAAGTGCTAACATGGAGGAAACCTGAGTTCAGGGCTTTCCACCGACTGCCTTCAATCATCTAACACTATAGTGGTATGTTTAAGTAGTAACTTTGTGTTGTAAAAGGTGGAATGATACGTGATTAAGAAAGTATATGTATATATTATTACTCTTCACTACTAGGTTTCCAAGGTCAGATATTTTGACATACACCTGTTGTATAAGAATGAGTGATATTTATAGGGACAAATTAAAATTTTTTTCACTGGAATATATAACAAAGGGAGTGGTTGTTTCATCTCGTCTTCCTTTGGATTGGTTAATTGGTACATACATGGTCTCTTTAACCCCTGTTCATAGCATTCATGTCCAGTCATCTCCTGCTACATGCAGGAAAGATGATGTTATCAGATTTGCTGTTATCATTTGTTGCGTTGATGTTGGTTATTCTATCACATGATTCATCATCAACCATCGTTTTAAATCGGACTTATATTATTTCTTCTATTGTCTGATAAGTTTTACATGGTTGATTTTTAAATTTCGTACATGAATTAACTTCTACTGGTAGAATTAACGCAGTAGCTGTCAGTTGCTATGTCTGAATTGATAAATCTTGGAAGTGCCACATAACTCTGTATTTATTTTCTACCAGTCAAGTTAATTATCTTTCTTCTGATTAGTTACATGAGTTGGGAGTTCACGTGATGATATTGTTCCAAGTAGTTATTTGCTTCGTGGTGCTCTGTAGTGGAATTCAAGACGCATATTTCATCCCGTTTCGGACTTGTACACTTGATGTACGAGAATTCCCTGAGCGACAGTGTTTCCATTGATACTGAAAGCCATCACTTCAAGCGCTACTCCACTGAGTTATGGAGCCACAAGAACCAACTCTGGCACAACGGGTATCAGTCTGTATTTACTGACAACTTATAGTTTTCTGTTGATCATTATACTAGGTGGAAATGATTGCTCTCTATTGGCTTATGATTTGACAAGCGGTGTCTGTCCACGACTTACACATTCAAGTGCTGTCTTTGTCAAAAATTTACTTGTACTGTTCAGTGAAATATGTATCAAGTTTTCAGAGATTTATCAGCATAAGCTGATGTCATCTTGACAAAGATTCATTGCGAAGATTGTCTGTTTTGAATCTTGTTGCTACCAGAGTTTTATTTCAACTTCTGTTATTGTGGGCATCAAATCTGTCTTTCAAACAAAGCTATTTTAAATAGTCTGAATTATCAATTTATTCTTCAGGCTGTGAAGTCTTCGGCATTCATTTATCTTTTGATTTTATCTTTAGTGCAAATGAATGGCATATGATTTGAAGCTTTCCAGAGAAAAAAGACGTTAGGGAGTCGTGACCATGCTTTGTGTTTGGACTGTTTTTCATTGTTTCCCTAATTTGCGAAACAGTCAGAATAACCTAATGCTAAAGTCAGTGATGGGTGATGCGGGTTCGAACCTGTAAGTTCATCTCAGTTCCCTTGAGGTTGCAAATTCGCCTTGTTGACGAATACCGGGAAGCACGAAACCTAGGTGAAGTAACACCTCTTGCCAATTACACCCATATATATATATATATATATATATATATATATATATATATATATATATTATCCCTTAAAATCGAAAACGATGTATTTGGTTTGCATGAAACACTGGAATCATATAATACAACAGTCTTAATCATTTGCCTTCTTGTCTAGTCGGTACTAATTAGCCGTTATTTTGTCAGCTACTCGTTCTCCGTGGTCTTGAAATTGCGATTTTGACTGTGAAATATATCATTTGGCTATCTGAGATAGGTGTAGTTTGGTAGACTAGTATTTATACTGGGTGATGATTGAAGGTGAGATGGAAATCTGGACTGCAGCCGGATTCGAACCAACGACCACCGGGTTACCGGCCCGGTGCTCTGCCAGCTGAGCTACGAGATCCGATTTCTGACTGGATTTTTATTCCACGTCAATCACCATGGGTTTTGCCCGACTACCATGTGAATTCGTGACACGTTACTACTGCTTGATCGTATACATGCAGACGTTGCAAGTATGTGATCTCTGAGAACTTTGAAGAATCACTTATTTGTGTTGGATTCGTAGTAGACTATGTTCATATTAAGTAGATAAAGCAACTTCATCAACTGAAATGGTTGAGGCTTGTTAATCATGTTTATTTGCCAAACAATTAGTCGCATATATTACTGGTAATTGAATAACAGAAGTCTGCGGTTGCTAACACTAAAATATTGTGTTGTTTCATAAAATTTCCGACCATTGCTACACATCGTATTTAGCATCTACAAAGTAAACTGTCGAAGACTAGGTGCCATGATCTTCACATTAGTCTCTGTAATAACGATAAGTTCACATCTTATTTCACTATAGACTTTGAACCTGTTTTCAACCACTACCTAAGTTCGTCGTTATGATTTACTCTTTTACATCTTTTAAAATTATGGCTTATTTTTACTTTCATCTCTTTGTTCCTTGTCTGGTAGATTCCCTTTCCTTTGCACTGTTGTAAGGCGTGACAGCTTCGGTGGGTACACAAGTGTATCAAGCTACGAATCATTCGTTTTTCGTCTTTCACAATAAACGCCTTCGAAATGTGAAGCAGATTTTTCACGGACAACCTATTCTAACTACTCTTAGGAAGAGTTAGTTTTCTCTCATAGTTCACTGATGATCAGCAGTTATTGCACTTTTGTGGTCTGTAGACAATTTTACTTCCTCCATATACATGTACCATGTGTGTATTTAAAATGAAAAATAATCTGTGTTGATAACATTTAAATCGTACATTTGGCTAGAGTTTAAAAGTTAAAGGGAGTATGGCGTAAGTCACATACTTCATTTACTTGGATGCATTCAGTTTGAGTCCAGATGTCGTCCAGCTTTTGTTTTAATTTTAGTTATCAGTCCTGTATACTAATTGTATATGGTGGTTTTTACCTCACTATCCTTGCCCCGTTCCAGGTTTGTGGAACCTTTTCCCAGCCCATTACTTCTTCAAAGTATCGTCATGATTATTACAGTGCTTATTTTGATGAAACAATTACAAAAGTATCCGTTACGAAGCGTTCTACGTCTATCCCTTGTAAAGTTTCAATGGTACAATCAGAAACGGAAAACTGGAATGTAAATCGATTTAGAAGTAAATCAAAAAGTATTTTTGAACCATTTTTCATTTCCTTGTTTTCATTATTTGAAAAAAACTGAGTTCAATTTAGATAACAAGAAAGGAGTTTAATTTCTGTTTCAATAAACTGTTTAATTTGTTTTTTATCAGTTCATCTGTTGGCACTAGCGAGTAGGTACTAATTTTATGAAATAACTATAACTTTCTATCTCTATTAGATGTATGCGTGCATTGCTTTAGGTTACGTTACAATGTAAAAAGAGTACCGTGGGATAACTGTTTATAGTAATTACATAGATGATATGGGGGTGCAAAGCCTCTTTTACCTATCCGATTATCATCATTGGTTCCACAGACTGTGAAGATGGTTTGCGTTTTGATCAAACAATGGGGCAGACGAAGTGCAGTATGCTGTTTAGGCTCACGGCATAGAACTACACGGGCTTATTTATTCTAATCCATACCCTGTAGTATGTGCAAGGTAGTTAGGCAGACTGCAACTGCTGGAAACGTATCTTATTGGTTTGAGTGCTCAACTTTCAAGCAGTTGGTCACTAGTTCGAATCCTGCCTCAAGTATATATATATATATATATATATATATATATATATATATATATATATATATATATAATAATTTTATACCAGTACTCAGTTTTCTTGTTGGTAAAACTGTTACCAGTGACGGTGAAAAGTAGGAGATACTCTATGTTATAGTGTGCCAAAAGATTGACAAAATCCTCATAAGAAACCGTATATGCCTAAAGCCTTTTTCAACCAATCATTTTGCTTCGAAGTTTCGGGAAAAAGCAGGTGAACTAGTGTTTAAGTATCAGGTTGGTTGAAGAGACGAAAAATCAATGGGCTTTAAATCTAGAAAGGCCTGGAAATAGCCAAGGCCATTCATTGTAATATATATATATATTGTAGACGTTTATGTTACAAGTACACCTATTGTATTATTGCCTGTTCCATTATGGAGTAAGTAAGCAACCATTAAGTGTGAAATCTGAAGGTTATTGTCCAAGCGTCCACATATGCATAAATCAAGCTATATCAAGCCACTGTAGAGATGTAGAACTCTACCACCACAATGGCGTCACATGTTAAATTTGAGGTTTGTTGTGGAGTGAAATTATTCACCAGTAAGTATGTTCTGTCATTAAGTGATAATCAAATCAAATAGAAATTGGAGGTCCCCTTTGTCAGTTGTCCGCATGCTTTCGCTTTTATAAATATGCTGTATCGTGTAGATGTGTGTGTAGCCGGTCCTAAGCCCGGGTGAAGAGGGAAGGTTGGGTATAGGGCTACCAACCCTACCCCGTAAAGCCAGTCTAACCCCTAAAGAAACTTCGAAGCACAAAGTAACTATAAAAAATAGAAAAAAACTTATTCCTCGCTGGAATCGGAGAGACTAAATGACACCGGTTGGTGAAAGCCCTCGGGAAGCCAGTCGGGCGATGTGTCTCCTCTCGATGAAAGCGAAAGTAAGGATAAGGACATAGAGTATCCGCACCATGTATGAACCTAGCAAGGCTGCCCAGATTGCAAAAGAGATGAGGAGTTATGGCATGGAATTGCTTGGAATCTGTGAAAGCAGATGAAATGGAAGTGGACTCTCCAAATTGTCAACTGGAGAGTCAATAATCTACTCCAATATTGTCACCCAGATGACAACCACCAGCACACTGAGTTTTGGAGTGGCTATTATGATGTTTCCTAGAACATCGAAGGCTGTCATGCAGTGGGACCCAGTCTCCTCCAGAATCAGGATCACGACGGGAAGATTCAACTCGAAAGGAAGGAAAGTCACAATCATTCAATGTTACGCGCCAATAAATAATGCAGATGAAGAGAAGAAGGAGGAATTCTATAGACAACTGCCTTTGAAGTAAAGATCCACGATCTTCCTGATTATGGTAGACTGGATCATGCAGCAAGCAGTGAGGAGCGAGAAGATGGGCATACGCTGGCCGGAGCGATGAAAAGACTCTAGAAGATTTGGATTTCACTGTCGATGATGATTGATGCCTAATGTCTTGTCGCGAAAACTCGAAGATCTACGGGCGAAAACTAACAAGTTGGCAGAAGAGGCAGCGAAGGGAGACGGGACTTCAAGTGAATGTAGAGAAGACAGAGGTGATGAAGATACCCAACCAACAATAACAGCACCAAAAACAAGCACCAATCACCATTAACGGGAGAAACCTAAATGAAGTAGTCTCTTTCACCTATATAAGTGACATCGTTTCAACTGCAGGTGGCGGTGGCATAGACGAGGATGTCAAAACCAGAATCGGAAAAGCAGGACAGGCTTTCAATAATCTGAAATTAGCGTGAAGATCTACTACACTCCACTCAGCATACAGCATTAACAAGATGCGATTTTCAACACCAATGTCAAGTCATTGCTGCTATATGGTTCAGAAATTTGGCGTGTCACGATAAGCACTTCCAACAAACTACAGATATTCATCAACAGCCGCCTACGCCCCATACTGCAGATCAGATGGCCAGAAGGAACCTTGGCTGGGAACGAACCAACCAAGAACTCAGAATCAGTCTCAGTGGTAATTTAGATGAAAAACTTTGCATATGAATGTCTATATAAAGCACAAGTTGATCACCCCGTACAGAACCTTTTGCTGGATGGTAACCCACTCTTATTGTACTGATGATGGATAGTGACTAGTTGTGGGATCAAGGACAGGTGTTCCGTCCTATTTAGGACTCGACGACTGGAAGCACCTGCCGGCCAGTGAGTGATGTTGTTCCCACTTAAACTATGCTACCTGAAAGCTAACCATACTAACCGGTCAGTCTAAACGAAGTTGAGGGAAAGAAATGTATTCCATCAGTTCGTGATTGTTCTTTATGTAGACCATCAAACAACAAATTCAAAGACTTGAAAGTTATTGAAATTGAATGTGGGTTTCGTTTCTTAAATAGCCGTAGAAAAGATGATCCCTTTAGGTATATTCTAAGATTAATAAATGTGTGCATTAACAGAGAACTTTGGTTTTAGAATGTACCTAGTAATTTATATGTAAGACTTTTGAAAAAGTGACTTCAGCGAATACACTATGGCTTTATTGTTCGAACCTTGACTGACTAGGGTGTGTCTTTACTACTGGTTATCAAACATGGACACTGTGGTAGAGTGCAATTCTACATTACATTTGTTTATTTGAGATACAACACAGTGGTACAGTATTATTCACTTGATGACGTTTCGAGCATTAATTATTTCTCATAATCGTATTAGCGTAATCACATAACTTTCGACATCTAACTCTTATAGTCCTAGTAGTCTTTGTTTTTATTGGTGGTGAAATTTTCCATATCTCTGTCATAGGTGTTGCGTCATTTCTATTACATGTGTTGGGTGTTGATTCGATGAACACAGATTCAGTGATTAATCTCTCTCTCTCTCCACCTAATTATGTTGGACTTAAGTACAGTGGTTTTATCTCTACTCTTCTGTGGTTGTGTGTTAATGTAGGTATCGCAACAGCGAGTTTCATTTCTAGATTACTGATCCTATTGGAGTCTGTCATTCTATATTTGGATAAATCCCTATGTTCGAATAATCTAACGGAACCCGATTGGCTAGTCTGACTCATGTACTTGACCTCACAGTCATTGCATGGAATTCGGTAGATTAGATTATGTTGTTGAATTCGATCTATCAGATTCTTAAGGTGACAAAGCTTATCTTTGAGAGAGTTTGCGGGTTTAAGTTTTTCCCTAATTCCACCCTTGTTGAGAATCCTACATAAAGTTTCTGGCGTTTCTTCCATTTATGGTAACATAATAGAGGTTTTCGAATAATTTCAACTTATGCTATCACCGCTATTCGGATTTCTATTATTATCATTTTGTTTCTTATATGTTTGTACGAATTTCTTAGTAAACTGAAGAAGATAATTATAAATTAGTAACGCTTCTTTCATGTAATCCAATCCCTTGTTTATATCCTTGCGTTGACTAGTAAGTTTTCTAGCTTCATTACCTAAACATTTGACTAAATCCGCCTTAACTGACATTGAATGAGATGACTTGAAGTTAGAAGGTGTCTGTTTTCTGTAGACGTTATTATCTAGACAACCGCCTGTTCTTCGTTTAACTCAGCAATCTAATGTAGCTAATTCTTTCTGCTCATTTTCTACCTCTAGTGAATTGGATTGGACTAAATACTGAGTTTATATGTGCAAGGAAATTGTTGATATGTTCCTATTTTAACACAGTAAATGTTGCCTCGACATATCGCCACCATATCTTAGGTGCAGCATTAAAAAATTTTAAAGCCACATCCCCCTAAATATCCAAATATTGAGGTCATGTCGTCCAATGTCAGTTAAGGTGGGCTTAGTCAAGTGTCGAAATAAAAGAGCTAGGAAACTCATTGGTCAGTGCAAAGGCTTAAACAAGGAGTTGAAACACAAAAGAAGCGTTAATAATTAATAATTATTCTCTAGCTTTTAGTAAGAAATCCATATGAATGCATAAGAAATGAAGTGATCACCGTAATATGAATTCGAATGATAGCGACAACACAAGTAGAAAGGAGTTCAAAGCCTCTTTTTGGGAAGTGGTTGAGGTAAAACCACTGTACCTAGGTGGGGAGCGCGATTAATTACTAAATCTTTGTTCAACCAATCAACACTCAAAACATGTTATAGGAATGACGTAACACCTACTCTAGAGATATTTAAGGCTTTACCATCAATAAAAACAAAGAATATAAAGTGATAGGACTATAGAAATTAGACATCGAAAGTTTTATCATTACACTGATATGATTACGAGCAATAATTTGTGCTCAAAACGTCATCAAGTAAATAATACTGTATAACTATGTCATATATCAAATAAACAAATCTAATTTCAAATTGCCTGTTTCATTTAGTCATACTCACTCACCAGTCGGTTAATGAACGTTAACTCATCATGGCGGTCATCTAATCCATTCAATGAAGGAGATTTAGCTCCATCTTTATTAAAGGATATTCAAGCTACTGATGACTGGAAAATGGCCGAAAACGTTTCAGAATTCACGCAAATTATTGTCATTCTGATAAATTCTATAATTGAAACCATAGCTTATTGTTTAAGGGATTTGAATTACTCTCCTTTTACCTAACAAAGTCTGAACACTTGAGTATTACTTCTGTTGTTAGTCTTCACGCAACTGGTGCGCGTATCTGTCTGTACAGTTCAAGTTACCGCATTTTGCAGTAGCATAGAAATGGGAAGTAAACAGAAGTAAAATAACAATGAAATAACTAAAAAGGTTTGAGAAGAAGGAATTAATTCTAAAGCGGATAATGAGTCAAAACAACTGAGGCATTTTGATCGATTTCGAATCATATCACTAGAAGTCTACAACTTTTGATTCCCGGCATCTCAGGGATCCAGACTAGACGACTTACGGTTCCTCCTATGCTGAGGAGATCATCGGCCAGACTTCGAAAATTGTTTTCATCCTAGTCTGACTGCTTAGATTTTTGTTCAGGTTGCCAGAAAACTCTAAATTACACCAGCACCTTCTCCAAACCCACATGTAATCCCTGAGATATACCTATTTTATGTACCCGTTTTTTCAAGTTTGCTTTTGCTTTTTAGATATCTATTGACCCATTGAAGTATTCTATGTATCTACTCAGTTTTATGAAAATGAGCAAAATGAAGACTAATATTGAGATATGTTTATTGTGATTTTCATCTATTTTTCAATAGAAGTTTGGTTCGAAAACTTTTGGAAATGGACACACTTTCAGAATTATCTCTTATGTTTGCTGTTTTTCACATTAACGTTTGGTCTCTGCACGTATATTTGCTCATCCAGTCAAGTTTATGTTCAAGTGTTAGGCTTTACTGCATTGTTTATTGAAGCTATGTTGGGCGCACCTCAATTTATAGAGAATTATAACAACAAATCAGTTGTTGGAATGAGGTGAGTTGACCTTTTTAGATAATAAGTATTTAGGCTTTGGATTGTAATAAAATGTATTCTGCATACAGTTGTGGGCACCACTTCCAAGTATAGATGTAATGGTCAAGATACTAAGCTATTTTTCTGTCAGCAGTCGAAATAAGCACCGATGCAGATCAGTTTGAAGCGATGTTTTGCATTTGGGAGGTGGGGTAAGCAACATACCGCCTGTACATCAATGTTTCATCGATAGAAGTGGTACAAAAACTTTGTAAGAAGATAGTCCTTTCATTTTCAAGATTCTTATTATGTTTGGTGTCAAACTTAAAATTTTCAAACATTGAGACTATCCTGATGAGTGACTTTGAAGGCCACCCTAGCAACTGCTGAGATAACCAATTGCGTTCCTCTAATCTATACAAAACTACATTGCCAGTCGAAATTATGAAATTTGACTGGTTAATTTAGCAGTTGCTAGGGTGGTCTTTAAAGTCACTCATCCTGGCGGTGAAATTATGACGGATTTAAAAAAGTGTACTAAAATTAACCCGAAAGAAAGGGATATACCTCTTTTATGTTTTAATCTGATTGGTAGCTAACAGCGAAATCCAAGACGCATGTTTCGTCCTATTTGAGACTCGTCAGCTGGATGTATCTGCACCCCACTGAGTGATATTGTTCTCACTGAGACTCAAACCTCGTACCCATGGCTTCAAACACCAAAGCATTATTCACTGGGACATGGGAGCCAATTCTTTTGTTAGGATATTTAAATTGATATGTAGGGTTAGAAACTATACTTAATCATGCCTTCACAATGATTGCTTTAAAAAATTAGAATCTCAAGTCATTCATTATGGTGTCATTGTGTTGTAGTCCCATTCTAAATCCTTGGCATTTCCCTTAGAATTGTCACCTTGTGTAATTCACAGTATGATTTGTAATCATGAATTGACTGAAATTCAGTGGAATTCAGAGATGTAATGTTAAACAAATTAGTCTCACGTTATCTGGTATAAGAGATATATTTTTTGAAAGAAATTGAAAAGAAGTAGGTCAACAAACTATAAAATGAATCTGAAGTGACTGTGTGGATATGACTTACAGACTAATACAAAATGCGACAATGTTACTAACTCAATGAAATACTTGGACTTGGTGCGAAACGCGATTGTTCTTCCTGAGACCTGATGCTAATTTGAGGCACGAAAATCAAAAGACCAAGACCGGCCTGTAACTTTCAGGAAGACGACTTTGTGTAACAAAAAGTTATTTATATACAGTTTTCTCTCAGAAAATGAATCTAGTAGGTCAAAGGTTGGATATTTATTTTCATTCATCAGCTGAAGGACAAAATTGTTCAATAAGGTTTTTCCCGCCCACACCAAACCAAGGTTGCAATCCAATACTTCTACCTTGGCGGCTGATGATCTTGAATGCTGATTTCGAGCTAGGCTGCTTCCTATCAGAATCATTTTTAGTTCATGAGTACTCATCAACTGCAGACAGTATGAACTTGCCAAGATTATGCGACTTGTTTGAACTGATAGACCCTTTTCCAGAGCTTTGCGCTATTGTATCCTTCTTGGATGTTTATCAGTGGATGGTGGGTTTCCTCTCCTACTGCCCTACGAGGTGGCATCGTTAATGCTTAATCAGTTGGCGGTAAGCTTTGTTTCTTACAGAACTCTGAACTATGATTGCTAAGTGGTACTCTTCTTTCTATTTTCACCTTGAATTTTGACTAGTTTGGTTCCCTAGTCCATAGCTTTTCATCAGACGGTGAGTTAATTTAGATCAGTTTTTGAAAAATTGAAATTATGGCTGTATAGACGCGGTTGCTTTGGTGATGGCTTTCGTTTAGGTGATGTAAACTATGAGATTCTAACCCCACACGATATATACCAAACCTAAATTGCAATTCGAATATTCTGGTTTCAACAAATCCTCTTTTAAAACCTATCACTTTATAAATCGATGGGATTCAGGTGTCTTTTAAGTGGCACTGTATTGTCAGTATTGATTTTTTACAGTTCTAGTTATGGTATCGATGAAATTTAACTAAATGAATATTTCACCTAGGTATTTGACCGATTGTGGGTCCTTATTTATTTAGTTTTGGTTGGGTCATATTAAAATACCACATTGTATTGTGTGTATGTGTAGCTGGAAAATGAGGCAACTTATCGCTTCTGAAGAGTGCACATAGTGACCACAGCCAAAAGTTGCCCAAGTTATACTAAAATCTCATCATGAGCGATTGTGGTAAGCTCATGGTGAATTGAGTGACAAACTTCCTTTTTTGCCACCACTTGAAGATAAATTAAAAATACGATATTTTTCTGTCAAACATTGTTAGCCTTCTTGTTTTGTTTTCATGAACTACTGATAACTTCAAGCCAATACAATACAGTATGACCTTTTGTAAAGGCTTTACCTTGTTATTTCTTGTTCATGTTGCTTTCAACAGCCTTTTAATCTTGAACAGTATAAAGTCTAGATGTATCGGAGGATTTTTCTTTGTTTGAAACGAGAAGTTAGAATAAATTTATTCATAAAAGTACACGCTTAAAACAAGCATATATAATTCGTTAACCGGATTGGTTAGAGGTTACTTGTCGAAATCAATGAGTTACATCTCTACAGCCAAGAAAGCACTAGCTATCACTAACGAAAATTTAATTTAATGTGAAGTAACTCTAAGCCTGGAACTCTGTAAGCTGAAAAACTGAGAATTAGAATCGAAAATATATCCAACGATAAGAATCAACCCAAACCTTTAAAAATACATCATTTTCGGTGTGGTGTGGTATCTCTCGTATACGAAATAGTCTATTAATATCGTGGTACAATATATATATATATATATATATATATATATATATATATATATATATATATATATATATATATGCAGAACAAAAGTGACCACAGTTAAGAAGAATGTTTTTGACTTGGTTGTGGCTAACAGTCGAATCCAGGAAATGCGGTTCACCCTGCTTGAGACTCTCCAATAGGATGTCACTTATCATGATAAATATTCAGGGAATATCGTGGGATCCGCATAGGAGCCGGTATGGTAACAGAGATCAATCATTTCGATCCGGTGTAACATCGCAGAAGTACAAGTATCAACAAATACGAACATTTTTCCTAATACCTACACTTTTCACTATTATTATGATCATTACTAGTGTTGTAATCAATATAAAATGTAATTTTGGATATGTAGCTAATTTACTTTATGTTAAGACATATTGAAATGCATGTATATGATCCTTAACACTTGGTCAATCATAACGTGTTTTCAAGTTTCCTAGAGTAATTACTCAGATACCAGAGTGATGATTGGTTACGTTTAATCTACAGTGACTGGATAAAAAAGTCACCTAGCATGTTAATTCAAATCTACATGTGGCGCCATTTTAGAGTTCATAGGACATTAAAAGAGTCGCTTAATTGGTTGATTAAATATATGACTGTAGAGTAACCTAATTCATGTTATCGATTCCTAAGTGCTGAACAAATTCTGTCAATCATTTTGAGATGTAATATGTGGTATTTAGTCCAGTCCTACAGAAGGGCAACCAAAACTGGGATAACTCAGTGGTAGGTTCTCAGACTGCGGCACTGAGTGACTCGGGTTCCAGTCTCTGAGAGGACATCAGTTGTCTGGAGGTTACAGATAAGCCTTGCTGATGAGTGTCGACAAGTACGAAGTCCAGGTCGAATAAGATCTCTTGGGGATTGTCTTCAGCCAACTAACCTCAGTCAAAGGGATTGGCTATAGGTTCTTGTTACCTCAATCCCGTTTGTTGTGCACAATTCAATCAATAATTCGGTTAATCACAATGTATATAGACTGTTATTTTGTTGAGTGTTTTTAACTATTGTGTTCTTATGTTATTTAATCGTTTTATCTGTCATTGATGACAAGAAGCAACATAGTGGATTAAGTTAGCCGATAAGCTGATTGAGTATACTTTACTTCACCAGTGTGATATTTTTGTGATGACTGTACTCCACTCTGCTCTTGTCAGTGCTACATATTGATTGTGTAAACTTTATTAAGCTATTCAGCATAGGACTATAAAGACAGTCGATCAAAAGTGACACTAACGTACCTAGAAGAATAAACAAGAGAGGTGAATTTTAACTGACTGTAGCTGTTTGTCTTCGAGTATGTCAAAATTAACTGTTTTAAGTGGAACTACGGCAGCCAGGTGTATCACCAAGCTGCCATCATATACTCTAGTTTTTTAAAGTCAGCTTCCGCTTTTAGTGTAATTTAATATTTAGTGTTTTAGTTCCCTTACATGACAAGTTTTAAGCACTTATCTGTCGAACAGTGTATTACAGGTATGAGGTATGAATTAGTCAGTCACTACCGACATTGAACATGATATTACTGCACAACAGTTCAATTTGCTGCAGTTCACACCACTACATCAAGGTATAAGGCAGTAAGATGAAGGATAGAGAAATAACAAAAAAATATAGTCCAAAGTCTTGGAAAGTCTTAAGAAGTTAGGAGATTGAATAATAATAAAGAAAATTTTTGGTATGGTGATTAGGATGGCGACAACGCATGGATACTTATGCATCACTGAAAACGATATTGAGCCATATCGTCTAGAGTCTCCAAATTTCGATTTCACTTATCATGCAAAAGCCAGTACGGAAGTCTAGATTTCCCTACACGGTTCACACTAACGTTCAGAGGCTTCATGGACAGATATGACCCTTAAATCTGACAGCATTTGACCTTTTATTAGGGTGGATGCATTCCAGCTGACATTGCACGATGTGACAGGGAATGACTGTGTATAGGTAACACTTGTCTGAGTCAGCTAAGTAGTTGAATACTTACAGCCTCCCCAACTGACCTATCTCCTTTACCTAAGACTTTAATGTCTATGTTACTAACTTGGCGGTTCCGAGATACGAAGGTAATGACTGACAAACGCCTTAAGCCTTCTCATGTCTTGCAACTTTAATGGCTATATGTCACAGGTAGTCAG